GGGGGTGTTTTTTTAACCCCCCCCCCCCCCCCCCCCCCCCCGGCGTGGGGTTTGGGGCCCGCTGAAGGACCTCGAAAAAAATTGGTATTTTAGGGGGCGGGCGGTACCATTTGGTCCGGTTTAGAACTATGATTCAGCTACTCAAAATTATAATTTCCATAGGGGACCATTTGTGTGATTTTTTCCAAGACTAATCAAAACAAAAATATATACCGGTAGGTGGCAGACTTCATCGCTGTGTGTACAGTGTTTATTGAAATTATTCTGTTTCATTTATCATAATTGATAGAGTAATTGTCCCTTAATCAATAAATTTATTTGATTTTTGAAAAGTTAAGTTGTCAATTAAATCGCAAAACTTTATGAATATAAATCATCAACACAAGTCATCATCAGACAGAGATAGGGTGCATTTATATTCCCACATCCTACTAACTGGGTCTATCCAACTCTGAGGGTGATTCTCACTGAAGTGCAATCAGTGGAATCAGCACACAATAGTTAATTACCCCCTAGCTGGTCAAGGAAGTGTGTCAGACAATTAAGCTGATTCCAATGACTGCACTTTAGCAAAAATCCCTCGTAGAGTTGGACCAACCTAGCTTGTACAATGTGTAAATCTGAATGCGGTCATAGATGACCAAGTTTAATTAATTGTCCATTTTTGCACCTTTGGCCAACTTTAAACACCCTCTGTCAATGTTACAGTCAATAGGTTTTTTTTTAGAAGACCAGACTATATTTTACCCTTATACACATGTGTATTGGACTTCCAAATTCAAACCAAATATATCAGGTCCCCAACATCCTGCTTATTAAAAGTAGACTGGTACTAGCAGAGGCATATTGCAACAAGGTCAAAGTTTTGAAGATTTGGTTTTCTCCAGCGAGAGGGCCTCCAGTACCAGGCGCGTGGCATGCTTTGAGCATCCCCACCCCAGGGTGATTCCATTGGCACCCTGACCATAGTTGTGGATTACCTGGAAAAATAAAAGTGTAATATAAAAGGGTCTTTTTATTAAAATATGTTTGTCTTACTGTCTGTTTTTACACAACTTGTTGGCTTTTATGCTCTTCCATGAAAGTATACAGTCTTTTGGTATGGTTAAACTTTAAAACAAATTGATTCATTTTAAATTAGCTCATTACTATCGATAAGCAATATGTACAAGTACCTCCATATTTTGCTTTTATAAATAATAATAATAATAATAATAATAATAATAATAATAATAATATCATCCATTTGATGTTGATGATAAACAAGACAGATTACCTTTAACAATCTGCTTCCCAACTTCAGGAGTTCCATTTCTACACGAGGGGGGTCCCTATGGGGCCGTAGCCCCACCCACTCCCACAGCAACTTGGCTGACTGGAAGGCAATGATTTTTCAGTCATATCAGAGCATGATTAGTTTCAGAGAGAAGAATCACAGAAGCGGGCATGTTAGACAGAAGCAGGCAAGTATACAATTTTACTGATTTTAATTGCCCATTCTTACATGTAGTTACATATACTAATACGAGGCACACGGAACAATATTTGAATATTGGTAGGTTTGCTATTTCTGTTATAAAGTCAATCGCGCCACTGCTGAAATTATATACTCTACCAAAAGAGTTCAGAGACATGAAATTGAAACACTATGTATGAAATGAAATTGAAAAACTAAATCTTCAGTGTATACAAAAAAGGTGGTTGAATTGCCCATTAATATTTGGTTAAGATATTTACCTTGGCTCATATGGTTATTTTATAATTGTTCAAAATAATGATTTTCCCAGATTTTTTTTAGTATATGGCTTATATCAAGATCTTGCTTATATTAAGATACCTTTAGGCTTGGGGATAACTGAGTTCCCCATTCCCACAGATTCTGGGTATCTTTTGGATCTTTCTCTGGATTGAAGTTTCCGACTTGACGTTGTCCACCAACAACCACATTGCCTGCACTGCAAATAAAAGTCTGGATAAATTTGAATGGACATTGAATTTTTCATATGAAACGAAATGTCAAAATGCAATTGTTTTTGAAAAGGGATGCATACAAAAAATCTTACCAGTAGAGTCAAACATACATAATTAAGGTTGTAACATCTTGATGTCTTGCCGAGTCTGCAAAGTCCCTCAGACATGAATTAATGTACTTATTGGTTTGGGAACAGCTTAACTGATAATCAGTCCAAATATATAAATTATTCATAAATTTGCAGAAAGGCTGACTGATAGCCCATTAAAAGACTGACAGTTTATTAACATTTTAATGTAATTAAAATATGTAAGCATGACTGGTAGACACTTGTAATTTTAATAATCACTGTCACTTCCTTTCAGTTCAGCAACAAGCTTCATCACTTACCAGGGTATAATATAAGGACCTGAGTCAAGATCATAGATAAAATGTGTCTGCCATGGGGCCTCAACCTGAAATTACAAGTACTCGCATAGATGCATTTTTGGCATCAGACAAATGAACAAATGAATCATATAATTTCAATATTGGTCTCTCTCTCTCTCTCTCTCTCTCTCAAACACACACACACACACACACACACACAGTCACAAACAACATTTTATGCATAAATATCAATGTAATCAAAAGCAACATATAGGTTTTTTAAAAACTGGAAATCAGTATTTATGTAATATTACCGAACTTTTGTACTACAATTGTAATCACAAAAACAATTATAGCAAAATATGTGTTATTTTCACAAATAACCATCCCATCATGCCTTGATTAGTTAAAATTTAGCATTTCAGATGTCTCTTGTCGTTAGTCTGGGATGCATATTTTAAATGAATACAATTTAATTTGATCTGAATCCAGTATTACCCAACCAAAGTCATACATAGACAGACACTTACTCTTAGCATCTGTCCTCTTGCTGGGTACATCTTGTGGTCATTAACTAACGTCTTTGCCCTCAGTCCACTACAGTTGACCACCAGATCATACGTGTCTGCTAACTGTAAAAAAAATCATACATATTCAAGTGGGTAACTTCCAATTTATAAATAAAATATATAAGAAGGGAAATATTACATGAAAGTTAAATACTATTCCTTTTTAAAATATCTGATGTCAACTTTAACATATTTATCCCCATTTTTTTTACTTTCAACAGTATACTAAATTTCAAGCAACGATTTTCCTGCCAAAAACTTATTTTTAAAAGCAATGCTGCCATTTTCCTGTGATAAACAGCATTTCCTACATCAATATAAATTGCCGCAGTAAAACATGCAAGAAGCATAGTATTTCATCCTTTTAAAAGCATATACTGTATTTGCATTTGACTTTCACCTAATCAGGTAATACTATAAAAACATATATTTATACATAAACACTGAAATAAGCCTAAAAGTATTTTGTTTCAATTTCAAGAAGTTAAGTTGGGATTATTGACAGGTTACAAAAAACAGCAACTGATGATACCTCTGCTAAACTGTGCAGTGTTCTGTGCTCAACTTGTCCACCATTCAACCGAAATCTACAAAATATGTCTGAATTAAATATCAATTTCAGTAATAAATTCAGATTACTAAACAACTGACGAAAACTGTAAAAAATACAAATTCTGATTCACTTCATTAATCTTTTATGTCTTTTTTAAAAGAGAAGGGTGAATAAACTGCAAAATCATTTAACAAACAATTAATCTTGTTTCAAGAGCCAATGCATTAAACATATTTTCTTGATTAACTTACTTTCTCATAAGCCAAGGTAGAAACCACCTGCTCTCTATACACAGTGTAGTGCAGAACCAGCCGTACCTACATGTGCACAATTAAAATAACAAAAATAAAGGTGTGACCACATATTTTTAAGCTTTAAATGAATACAAGACAATATTCACAGTACTACATGCACAATGCATGTTACCATGATTGTATGAATCTTACCAAGCTTAGTTATACTACATGATGTGCTATTCATAAACTTGTTTCAAAGATGGCCATAGTTGTAGAATATGACAGTACAGTAATCGCTCGATCATTTCAACTGGGAAAATTGTGAATTTTACAATTTATGTGTTTTTTACCGAATAAATTCCTAAAATTGCAACATTGCTATTGAGTGGCAGCAGCACAATTGAAAAGCAGACTTCCATTCTTAAAGTAAAAGCACCAAAATGCAACATAAAAATGTGTTGATAATCATTTCAAATTTATTTTTCTGAAAAATTGGTAATTTGTCTCGGTTGAAATGATAGAGCCATTATCCTTTGTTTTGTAACTAAGACCCCATTCAGAATAGGGGACCAAATATGGCGACCCAATACAAAGCTTGCCCTCTAATCCGCTAATAGACACTGAATAGATTCCCTGTGAGGAAGTATTCAAGTAGGTCAGCCATATTTGACCCTCGGACTAGTAAGTCCCCTATTCTGAATGGGGCCTATGATACTTGATGTTTCTCCATCGCTAGTAAGAATATAGATATGACAGTGATTACCTGAAATTTCCTGGAATATGCTGCAGTTCCTGAGGAGTCATATCTCGGAAATGGTACACTATGTCATGGTATATTGGCCTCTGAAAAAACATGAAATTCTGGGCATCTGTCATTTTTATCAACAACTTTTTAAGATAACATGGCTCTCTGTAATCACTTTGATAGTTTTTATATTCATATTTTTATATGTACGCATGTTTCCGAAAAGAACAGGCAAAGGAATATTATACAATTTTAATAATTATAAATTAAGTAATAACATGTAAATTACTAATGTGGAATGTTGAATTCAAATTCAGTGAATATCAAATATCTACCACAAATATAAAGTGGTACTTCAGCTATAGTTTGATAAATAAAGTCACATCTAAACCTCAAGATGAGGCACACATATGACCTTGTTAATCATACATAAGGCCACAACATGGACAACATTTATTATCCATAATAATAACTGCTGAATTGAATCAGCTGATAAATTTATGTATTTATTTGACTTAAATAAAAACACACCATTCTATTAACATCAGCTGTATGCTGAAACACTTACAGGTCTGTATAGGCAGGGGAGGTTTGTGGGGAGGATTTAGAAAGAAATGCAATCATCTTTTTGGACAACAAAAGGTCCTCTCTGAATCAAAATTTGATCAGGTTCTATTAGCACAATAAAGGTTTCACAGTAAAAAGGTTCACTTTTGCCTTCTCTCCCAACAAACACACACACACACACACACACACACACACACACACACACACAATTGCTGGCTACAGACTTGCATTATCCATACACAAGAAAGCAAACAAAAATATGACAAAAGCCATGCCACTCTCTACCTCTCTTGGTTGATTGAAGACTTGGAACCCTGATATCAGATGTATCCCAGCCTCTGCTGAGTCTGAAGATTTAGCAACCGAGCTATAAAAATCCCATCCATCTTGGCTCCACTGTCTGGAAGAAAAAATAACAACATCGTGTGATAGTTTGTATTAAAATTATACCAGTTTAACTATTCTTAAAGATATTAAAACAATCAAATTAATTAAATTGAAATCCAATCAAAATGAATTAAAAGTGACCTTGTTAATTTCATTTTACAATATTTCATCTTTAAAAAATCATTAAAACAAGTTTTCTTTTAAAAATGAAGTTTTATGTTTTAAGCTTAAGAGCACAGGGACTAAAAGTTGTCATATACTCCATAACACATATGAAAACAATATTCATCGAATCTGTTTAGATCAACTTAATTTTAATTAATACCTGACAGGTGCTTGAAAGCAGCTATAGTATAGTAGCTACATTGCCTCTTGCCTCCGTTTTCAGCCTTACATGTTCACGGTACCCTTAACCAGGTGTAAGGCTGAAAACTGAGGCAACATTGCCTCTCCTGCACAGGAAAGCTACCTGACAAGTTCTGGGTCTGCTTTTATTAGGTCCAGGGTGGGTCTAAACACGCCAGCTGCTCCATCACTGGTGGTATTCTTGGCAAATTTGTCTGCTATCACAGTTACCCTGGCGTTGGGAACAGCTGCCTGAATCTGCACGGCCGAGGAGAGGCCTAGTATGCCAGCTCCAACTACAGCAATCTTCACCATTGGGTTTGCTGTTACAAAGAGAAATAAAAAAATCCTGTAGTACAGTCATATGTACAGGGACGTATCTTTCATGATGCACAAATAGTAGTCGGCTTAGTGCTACATATCACAGACCGTAAATAAGAGCGCTAAGGCATACAAATTTCATGCTAGCATCATATATATATTACGTATACTTACTTTGAATGGTGACCGCGTATTCCGTTTTATTGCACCACCACTGCACTGGCGTCACCGCAGCGTGTACGCTGAACACGTGGGGACCTGGGGTTGGGCCTGTTTTGTTTTGGTTTGGCCTTGTCCGACGGTAACAAGTCTCTTTTACCGATATTTCTCGAAATCTGCTAAGACCTGTACATGTCTGCCTGCGTGTTGTGGAATTAGGTCAGAACTACATGTAATCATCACTGAATCTTCAATCGATGCATTTGCACAGGTGGGGCAGGACTTGGAACACGATTCTGACTCCTTTTATATTCTCAGAACGGGGAAACCGCGATCACATGGAAGAACGTTGCTAAATATAAGTGTCTTCGGAAAAATGGCATGTTAGAGTCCCATGAAAAGGAAATACAATATTTTGGTGACATATTGGCGTACATGTGTACCAGTACGTGACTCAACCCACCATTGCCGTCCACTTCACTTTGCTTGCTTCACGGCAAAACACAGAATAAGGGACCATTCAGATTGAGAAGAGCCAAGTGCTAGTGGGGCCGGTACCTAAATATGACAGACCTACATGAAATAAAGACCGCTTAATCCTGTAATGGTCTCTCCGCCTCTCACACGCCTCCCCACGCGTTGTCCCTCGACCGGTTGATTTGAGCCGAGATTTAATTACTGTGCCCCTGCAAGGACGATGCGTGGGGAGGCGTGTGAGAGGTGAAGAGACCATTACAGGATTAAGCGGTCTTCCTTTCATGTAGGCCCGCCATATTTAGGTCGCAGCCTTACTAGCACTCGGCTCTTCTAAATCTGAACGGTCCATGAGTATCATGCTAAAATTGAGTCGCACTAAAACATGAGCCACTTCTTAGCTCATTGGATTCCGTTTTATAAAATTTAATGCATAATGGGCTCAACCTACCAAAGCCGTGTCAGATCAGCCATCGGGTGTAGTAGATGTAAACGATGCCAGTAGACAGGACAAACAGATTACGCGGACGTGTTATAGACCACATAACGCAACTAAATTACTTAAAATAGTCGGGTCAAATTGAGTCAAAGGGCATACTTTCATGCTTTCAAAGGTAACACGTAGCTACTGAGTGACTAATATGTCAAGTGGCATTATTTAATGTTGGAAAAATTGCTTTACATGTTAGATTTATTATTGTAAACACAATTAAGTTTGAAACATTGGAATTTTACAGTATCTACTTGGACATAAAACAAAAATCTTCAACCAACCCGGAAAACAATTAAAAAGCTAAAATTGAAAAATAAGTTTCCAGAAATTAACTAAACATTTGGTAATTTTTACATCTTTTATTGGCAGCAATTTCATTCTCCGTCATACAGTCCATCTTTTTTTACCTTTAGTAATTACAGGTCCTTGAACAGCTGGCTTCATAGCTTCAATTATGCTTAACTACAGCTATACAAATAAAGCACACAAATGCCAAAAGTCAAACACTGAGAACCTATGATAAGCTGAATGAAAAAAAATTACAAATAGGGAAAAAATTTAAACTCACACTGGATACAGTATGATGCAAGCACTTGGACTGCTTATTATGAACCAATTAACAAACTCCCAACCCTTGCAACACTAAAAGATGTTAGTTTCACCTGCAGTAGATAATTTGGTATGGGCAAAGTTAAAACAGTTTTTATCAATAGTATAACTGGCTTTTTGCTGGATCCTAGTTATTTCTCATTTCACAATATGTTTGAACATACATTGACGTTCTTCTTCCCATTATTACATAAATTGGAAGTATTCAAACATTTTAGGATTTGTCGAGGAATACTGGTTGAGAGGACTACAAGAAATTCCACCGAAATTTTTTCCAATACAAATAAATAAATAAATAAATAAATAAATAAATAAATAAATAATAATCTAATTAAAGTCAATCAGGATGTCAAAGAGTAAGCTTGTGATCTTTGCACAGTTATCTTCAGGAAGTTTTTGAAGACATCTGATTCCAGAATTATGTAATTATGCCTATTTTTGTTTCACAGAAAATTAAGTACTTAAAGAAGTCAAATATGAATGCATGTCCACATCAGTTCTCTAAATGCAAGGTATACTGAAAATAAATTAATGGATGGATTAAGATGCTAATTGGTGGGAAAATAACTTAATAAATGGTCATCAAATAACATTCTTTTTGCATAACTGTGACTTTAAAAGAAAGACCAAAAGCATATTTCAGGCACATGCACTATTTGTGGTAGTACACAAATGTTTCTGTATTGTCTGACCTGTAGTGAGTTTTTTTTTTTTTTTTTTTTTTTTTTGGGGGGGGGGGGGGGGGGGGGTCAAAAGAAAAAGGTCTGATCTGGGTAAATTTTTTAATTTTTGTTCCAGGTACATGATAAAGGTCGCATGGTAAAAAGTTGGACTCCCCTTTTTTTAGAAACAGACCCCCCCTCCCCCAACTCTATGAAATTGTTGGCTACAAGTCCAATGGTGATACACTAAAGCACAGGGGAAAATATACAAAAGACCCCCTAGAAATAGATTTATGGGCTCTTACATTTTAGGTGCTTGTTAAATCTAATGAAATTTTAGATTTAACTGCTTTTTCCACATAACAAGAAAGAAAAGATACTGAGGCACTTGTGACCAAAATTGATCTCTCTTGTAAAATCTGAAAAACCTTTCAAGATATATCGTAGAAATGATTGGGCTTAAAATCATCTTAGTGGTGATATTTGTGAAAATTAGCCATTATCTTTGGAATAAATGCCAGTTTTGCAAGAAGATCAAATTTGTGTATCATTTGAGCAATTAATTCTAGTACCCAAAATATTGCCATGCAGAGCTACAAGCAAGACTAAGGCTATCATAAACGCTCTTCACCAAAAAGTCAATGCATTTCAAGTTTGCTAAAAAAATGAAAAAATACTCCAGTAGTGTTTTGCCATATCACTGAGATGAGGTGAAAAATATGCTGCTGTGGACCTCAGAAAATATTTACCCTCCTGTCCTGTCACAATTAACACAGACGTACATCACACAGTTAAATAACCTTGACACATCTTTTGAATGACACAATTAATCTCTAAACAGATGTACAGCCCTTTTGTTGAAATAACAACCATTTCTAATCAAAATGATTCAATACTATGTGACACATCTTGCGCTGAATTATTTTTTAAATACAGGTTACATCTATTATCAAGGGGGGTATATCTGCTTCACCTTATACCAGAGGCAATGTAAATGGAATTTTTCAAAATTTTCTCTTACTCAAGACATATAATTATTCACTAGCATTGGACGTGAAATTTTTAACTCTAACACACAGTCAATATTGAAGTGAATTAAAAAGGTAAACTTCAGTGTCCATGTACTTTTCTAATCACTACAAATACAGATCTGATATAATTTGGCATCAGGTGTTATTCTTTTGTGACACAATAGATAAAAGAATATATCTATTCATTTTGAGTGCCTAAGCACAAGGGTCAAGCCCCTATTCAGCTTTCTTACCTTTTCCTATTTTTCGTGCATGGACCCATTTCTTTTTTATTTCTACAGTGTTAGTATAACAAACAACTAGTACAAATTTCAGTCAGTAATCAAATATATCACTGCAGCATACAAAACAACAGACATAACTTAATTGTTGGCCACTTAAGCAGCATCAGGCATGGAGAACATTGATGTAGGTGCATTTAAATCGACCATTACAGAACCATTTACCTAATTCAATGGTAACTGTACTCAATTTGGCAGATGCTTGGTATTACAACGAGTAATTTAGTTTTGGCTATCACTAAGAACCATTATTCATTCAAATCCACTTGCATTTCTGCAACATTTTCCGTGCCCTATGATATTTCCTTTAAGAAACGCTGTGCATCCACCAACTTGATTACAATCAGCATTGGAAATATGATTTATCTATCAGATAACATAGGATCACATTTCTCTGACAAAAGGCATTCTCAATTTTAGGAATTTGAACAACCAAAATCATATTTTTCCAATGAGGAAAAAAATTTAGACAAATTTTCAAAAATGTCACTATACAAGTAGCTTTGTAATAACATGTAGAAACAGTGACGTAATTGATAACAAAAAAAGTTAAGATTTAGAGTATGAAATATGCATGCCAAAAGTAATTCCCTATAGCTAGTACACCGACTGTACAGCTACCAACTTAATCAATTGGTGTGACTAGGAATATCCAATACAGATATTTATAGATATCTGTTGGGGTATTCTTCCACATGTTCACTACAAACAAGACTTTGGTTCTCATCTATTCTACTGGCTTGGTTGAAGCTGAACACATTACGGACATGACATGGCTGTACTTAGCATAATATTAATATAATAATGATAATAATACAATTTTTAACAAAAATGTATTTCAATATTTACAGCATAAGAATATTTCAACTTTACAGAAATTTACTGAAAAAAACCTTAAGCATAAATATATGGAGAATCTATGGTAGAAATATCATAGTTTTCTATCAATAAACTTTTTCTGTCCATGTGACACAGCAACTTTGACCTTTGGGAATAACCCCAAAATCAAACTGACATTTTTTAGTTCTGCTTTCATTCAAAAGCATGTATTTTGTGAAAAAGTTCATGGAATAAATTTTTCTTTGGAAATTGGGGGGAAAACTGTGATGTAATTCTTAATTCACTTGTGCATTAACTGAGAAAACACTGAAGTTCATATCTGCAGTGTATCTCATTTCAAACTTAAGGAGCAAATGTGAAAGCTGCTATCTTACAATCTCCTCTGCAAAGAAGTTTCACTATAATAATAATAAGCTTAATTATATATTCATCATTGATAATAATATAGAATGACATCATAAACAGGCAGACAATGACACAATCTATCACTTTTCTATACAGCCGATAAATTAAATAATTTCGGTCTCACTGTTGCTCTGACCCAAGCCCGGGAACTGTCAGTAAATATTCCAAAGCGTAAAACCATTTCACATAAAGAATGGCAGTTCTTACTTGTGCAAGGCTTTTGAAACCACATATTAGGTGCGTAAAACTATAGGAGAGAAAACCATAGTCACGTTTGATTTGTTATTATTCCAACCAATGACACTCTGAAAGAGAACCTCTTATAAAGTTATCTTACACAATCAAAATCCCTAACTAACTGAATGATCTTCATTTTCATAGCAGTTTGACATATAAAGTGATTAAGTATTTATGATGCAATAGCAACGTACATCAAGGGTGCCACTAATATCAATTGTTATTCTACAGATAACAATGCCTCAAACCACCTGTTTTATTTTTTTGGCACACAAATGCATAAACATGGCTGAGGGGAGAAATGGGAGAGGATGTTCATTACAGTTCACATTGCAATAGTGTTTACATGAAGCAAGGTGGTTATGAGAATGCTGCGGTAGTTATAACAGCATGTTAATTGTGGCAGGTGCGACACTGTGGTGAGTGTGACAAATGTGCTACCAAGCAGCGTGACAATTTGTAATGTATAACAGTAACTTTCTGTATTGCAGCAGTTGTTTACCTAAAGTAAATGTCTTAATCTGTTGGTTATGGTTCTACCTATGTCACCTCCTAATTTATTAACAGTTTTTATATCATGGTGGCACAGTAGTTGTAAATACCAAATTTGACTGTAATAGACATTTCCCGGGCTTGTTATAAAAAGATGTGACACTATGCATCTTCAGTCTACGATAACTACTGGACCACGCTTTCTAGTCTTGGTGAGGGCACAGCGGAGGAGAAAGGGGGGGGGGCTGGAAGATCCATAGAACAGCCAGGAAGTAGTGCGTCTCATGAGCCTCCGCTGCTTGCTGGGGAGCCCGTTGATGGCTTCTTTGCACGTGTCATGCGGTCAAGTTCTGCAGCCGCGTCTCTTGAAACGGAGGACTTTTCTGTAAAGAAGATGAATCATGTGCATTCATGATTTGATGCAACTTCTTAGATTCCAAAAGCTGATTAGGCAGCCTTAGATGATTAAATGTTGAAAGGGCATAACTTTCAGTCTGAAACCTAAACTTAAGAATCTTTGAGGAGAGTGAGCCTGTCCTTTTTAACCTAAAAGGTTATGAAATTAAGAAATGCATAATCTAAGACTACGGCACTACTTCTGTACAAAAGATTTCCCAATTTCTTTCAAATTGCACAAAATGACTAGCAAAAATTCATTTCAGTATTTGCTTTTCACATCAATATCATGTTCTAACTGTTCAATGAAGCAAAATTATAATTCAACAATTAAACAAACCAAACTGAAAAGCTTATCCGCAACAGCAAAGCCACCGCAAACTAAGCAAATATATAATTATCTTTTTAAAAGTTGGACATTCTACCTGCTTTAGGAGAGGCAGCACCGGTTTTCTTATTGAGTAAACTGTTGAAGAAGTTGGCAAGCACACCCTCTGAGGCCGCATTAGCCTTGGGACCATCAATCTGAAAGAAAAAAAAAATGTTGAAAACAAATTATCAAACATGGCAATAAGGTGGCAAACTATGACCATTCATCATCATAAAGAGAAGTGACATGCAATTTACATGACAATAACAGTTGTTATCCTTATATATAGTAATCACTGGATAAAATAATTGAAGTATTATTACTCCATAGCACGGAAAAATATGCTTTTTTTTTTGTTAAATAACATGGAAAAGTCACAAACATGAAATGTGGTACTTAATGCACACTAAGACTTCTATGGTCTAATACTTCTATGGTGTTGCAGTATACTAGTATTGGAGATAATATAAAGACAAGAAACAATTTCTGCAGCTGTTCTAAAACAAATTTAACATCCCATCTCAAAATAGGCAAAGAAAATTCAATAACAATCCAATTAGCTATTTAACCATGATTGTCTTAGTTTGAATTACTAGGTAAAGTGCTGAGCTTCCAAATATAAAACCTTTCCTGGCACATAGTTCACATTAAGTCCACCAGAGGGCATTTGGAGCCAAATTATTCCCAATCCAGTCACATCTAGTACGAAATCTGACTTAATGCACGGACAGATAAATCACCATTATTCTACTGCAACTCTAAAGGAAGACATTCAATCAAAAATAGGATACTATAAAAAGAGACGAGCAAATCCTTTCTCTGCATTTCCTACTTATGAATATTTAACACAAAATCCAGCAAGTCTCTAAACTATATTGTATACACGAAAAATAGAAATCACTCAAGAGAAATGAAATTCCCATTCATGTACAAATCTGTACCTTTTTAGGTGAGCCTGTGGTGTTGGGCGATCCTCCCGCAGGCCGTGGTGATGCTGGCTGACGAGAGGCAGGTCTTGCCGGCGACTCCTACACAGCAAAAGCAGTTAGCGATAAACAAATCACACCGAAATACTAAAATGAAACTAAGCATTTTCTAGCCTGAAGTCGCATGAAATAAAGAAAAATATAGGCCTTTTCTTTCTTGGAAAAAAGGAAAATAAAAGAAATACACATCTATTTTTTTTTCAGAAAGAAATTATCCATAATTTCTCAGAAATGAAATAAAAACAGAAAAAAATACTAATTCTCTTTTCAGTGTTAGCTGGTCATTCAACTGATGGAGAGGTACATCCTATTTGTCAACAAATGAAAAATGGCCTAGTCTAGCCTGATGTGTTACACTCATTTGGAAAATAAAATCAAAAGTCCTAAAATCATGAATTACTGGAATTAACTTTTTTGGTATCATTTAGTAAAACTATTACAAATAAAATGCAAATGAAAGATTAAAAATAAAGTCAAATATGCTCAGTTTATTAAAATATCAGTGGGTTTTACGCGTAAACTGATTCCACAAACATTCTCTCTCTCTCTCTCTCACCTGGGAACCTAAAGTAGTATTTGAGTGTGAAGATATTTCAGAAATATGTTGAGCAAAACATCTGGCAATTGTATTATAATGACAAATGTGGCTCCATAAAGAGGTAATTCCAACACTGTCCACCATGACCAGTATTCATAATTCTTATAATTTTTCAAAATAAGTCCTATGCAGGAAAATACTGGGATGACTAAATCTAAGAGGGAAAATTCTGTGCAATAAAACCCATCCATAAGCTTGCTCAGTCCACCACCACATAAAAGCAAAACTAGCATCAATATTTACCATTTGACATTAGTTATATAAATCACTGATCAATAAAAGCAATCAGAAGGCAGAAAAGTGCCAGGCAATACTGCAATCAATTCACAAATCAGTTGTCTGATCACTCTGCAAATTGCATAAAAAAACTTGTTGCCAAGGTGATCATCTTCAAGTACAGAAATTCCACATCTGCAGCAAACTAGCATCAAAATGTGCTGAAAGGCTGAAAAAAGTAAAACCAAACAAGAAACTGGAGCCTATAGAAAGCTGCAGGTGCTACATATATATATATATACAAGAAGCTGCTGGTTCTGATGTTGTCCTGGCAACATCACTGTTGCTAGGTTACCTTCAAGTTGAAGTCTCCATGGTGACCAAGTGATTGACTCCTGGGTTCCAACCCATAGCGTACCTTAGTAACAGGACCTGAAGCCTGTGTGGAAGTGAAGTTTAGGTGAAAAGTGAAGCATGCAGGGCTTGTCCATCACTTTATATTTTATTTCAGAATGTGTTTGAACATTGAAAATACATTGACTGTATATCTTTATCAGTCAATTCTAATCAAGACTCAAGTTTACTCTTATATTTCCAGAATAATTATAAGCATTAATTTTAAAAAATCAGTAACAAAATTACCATAAATGAAATAATATGTAATATCTCACTTTTTTATGTCATTTTTATAAAGGTAAATTTCCAAATAATAAGAAAAACTGCTTTGGAAAAGTAAAGTGATGCACAGGAATTGTTTTCCTTAGAGAGCCAAAATATGAAGGATATATCGATCAAGGTCAGACACTCTGCCTAAGTGAGCATAGTGAAACCATGCATCCTTTGAAAATAACATTAAATAAAAAGCAACTTGAAGTTTAAAAATAACATGCAGATACAAACTCAGATATGTGTTGAGGATGTTATCATAAAATCATGTTCATAACATGCTACATTGAAGGTAAAAAAACGGGTAAATTTGCATCTCTCTCTTAACATACGGACCACAGTTATTCCTGATACTTCCGACATTTTTGATGACTATATCTACAGACCATACATAATAAGTATGTGCATTTGGCGGATAGAATGATATATATCAAACAAAAAAGTAAGGTTTAGAATAAAATTTCATGGATGCAACACATATAACATATTGAAATCCCTGCTCATCATACAAGTCAGCAGATGTTTCACTTGCTTTACAAATAAAAAAAGTTGAAACTCTGTTACTAGTTTAAATAACCTATAAACCAATTTTAAAATGCAGTGGCGTCCAATATAACACAAACCCAGTTTAAGATGCAGACTAACTACAAATTCACTCACCCCTCCAGCAGGTGGCGCTTTGTCTAATTGCGTCTGCTGTTTCATGAGGAATAACTGTTCATCTTCTGCTACGATGTCTGCATCTCTCATTATGGGCTGCAATAAAAAAAAATACAAATATATTGTAGAAAGAGATATGTAACCACTGAAAGGTTCTTAAAAATGAGCCAATATCTAATGTACATGCATGGCTATACTATAATACTTTCAGTATTGGCCAGAAATTTTAGAGTGAAACTGACAGTCTCAAATTAAAGTACTAAATATGAATCTCAGAGAGAAGGTAGTAAAATGGACATAAATAGGTTTAGGTTGAGGTGTTTGACTGAATCTTTCTTTTTTCATCAAAATCAGCTGGCAATTTCTTAGGGTTTATTTTCCGAAAAAAAAAAAAAAAAAAAAAAATTTTATCAGTTAGTTGACCCAACTTGAAAAGTACTACAGATCCTAGATCAAATCAAAGTTTAATTTAGAACACGTTATCTGACCTAAAGGCTGGCTGTATTGCACTCCTCAAATCCCTGTTGCCTACAGGCCTGAGAATTATATTTCAGGCAGAAAAAGGGGGTAAACAAATCTCTCTCAATAGGCCTATCATGGTGTTTTCTAGACAGAGACTTGCAACCAATAGCAACAGTTTCATTCCAACATTCAACGTCACTTGCCAAATCCAGAGAGAATTCTTTCACTTACTTTTCTTGTAACTGGTTTTGCAATGACATCCTCGAAGGAGTCCTCTGGTTTCATACTGCGCATATTCTCATATAAAATACTAATTTTTTTCTCATTGTCCCAACCAGCTGGGCTGAAAAAATTAAATAAATAAATAAATAAATAAATAAATAAATAAATAAATAAATAAATAAAATTCACATCATTTGTTGAAAAAATGTTGAAAAATATTTTTAAAATCTAAGGTATTTTTTATTAAAATATGCACAAGAAATCAAATTAAAAACTATAAACAATGTAAAAACCTTTTTACAAACTTACACAAAAACTGAATCCCTCTCCACCACATATCCAGGCACAGAGAATGGAAACCCATATATCCTATGAACTAAATATTTATACAGTAATTCACAATTTTTGTCTTCTTTCACTGAGACATAAGCTAAAGCAGCACCATCTGTGATGGGAATTAAGGTAAAATAGGGGAATTCTAATGCATTATTCAATATTTAAGTGGTCAAATGAATGGTTGCTAATTAATAAAGTAATATGATAAGGGCAGGATTATTTATATTTACTGAAGAACACAACTACCTGGCGAAAAATCAGAGCAGGTAATCTATAAATGTAAATGGAATGCATATATAGGGTTTTCAGAAAAAAATCACTGGTCAAATGTCTATGTGCGGCTTCATGTTCAATTTAAGCAGTATACTTTCTAAACATACTTCAAAAATGAAAGATTTTGAAGCAATTAAATATTATTTAAAATATTTTTACTACTGACTGATCACTGATACGTAATTATTCAGGAAAAATGCTCCACAACAAATTTATCAACAAGATCTGAAAGGATACAATTTAAACAAAATTTTCTAATATGTTGCTGTATGAAATCAAAATGCTCCTCCCTATAGTCATTCTCCTTCTCTAACGTTGAGATTGCATCACTCTGAAAAAAAAATTACCACTGGCAGTAAGATATCTATATGCCATAGGTTCTCAAAATTTATAAAATGATTATGTCTGGTGCTGCTACCTGGTGGTTGCACTAAAAACTGATCAGAATATCAAGCTACAACTAACTTAGGTGGACTAACTAAATACAGATTGTATCAGTAACTGGGGAGACCTTTTCATCATTTTCAGAATAAATGCACTATTTTCAACATCTTTTATCCATCCTTACCTTTGTAACAACTACAACTATTGGTATTCCTAAGTTATTTGTGAGTGTACTTTCTCCTAGTGGTAAGAGGACTCTCTCCTCGTCTGTTGATGATGCTGATGGGTGAAGAGGGTTGAAATCCCTTCTTGGTGGAGATTTGATTTCCTGTCCTTCCTCCGGCTCTACGTACTCTTGGAAGTGACGCACCACTAAAATGGACAACAAATAATATGAAGACTTATCATGCCCCCCCCCCTTTTTTTTTGCTGGGAAAAGGTCCATTCTGGGTAAATTTGATCTAGGTAAACTAAGGTTTCATGACACAAGGTCCACATTTAAAAAAAAAAAAAAAAAAAAAAAAAAAAAAAAAAAAAAAACTCCCCTTCGCAATTGCTAGCTACGGGCCTGCTTAGTGCTTCATGCATTCAGATTAAGTTCTTAGCAAAAGACTGGCATTTATCAAAAATTTTTAAATTGCATATAGCATTAGATGGCCTACATTTGTACTTTTTCAAAAAAAAATAAATTTTTGTAAAAAAATGCATTACAAAATCACGCACAGAATTTATAATGAGAAAAAATTAAGTCAACAACATTTTAAGTACAAATTTTAATTTATGTCTGTCTAAAAAAAAGGTATGTAAAGATGACATCATTCTGAGAAATTATTAAAGTTACGTCCAAAATCCACACTACCAGTGCATATCCTTTCAATAATTCACCTCATTTGCCTTAAACAAAACAGATATTCTCCCATTTGAGTAAAAGAACAAAACCATCTGTCAAGCTGTGCAACCTTTACAGATGTATATTACCCACAATGAAGAATCACCATCTGATCAACTTACAACTTTCTTCAAATTCCCTCATTTTATCTCTGGGTATTTTAAGTCTATCTATGTGATCTCTAAGCAGTGTGGTCCACTTCTGTAGTGATTCCATCATCAACCAGGGCTGTGTCATGGACACAGAAATGATGACCATGGTGTGTTCAAAATTCTCTTCATTTAGTGCAAACCTAAGCAAGCCTGTGTGGTGGGGATCCCCGTCCAGTGTCCATACACCAAGCCTGGCTTGGTCTGGAAGCAGAGAGTGAACAAATTTAGAAATCAAAAATTAATTATGATGTAGCACAAAAATATTTCATAATTTCAGAAGAAAAGAATGGATGGAAAGATGTTCTTAAATGTTAAGAACTGAAGTGGGGCACTTTTTGTTTTACGATTTTACTGTCTACAACAAGCATACACTTGGACACATATATATATATGGGTGCACACACTGTCACAACACACATGCACACAAAAACATATACACAAGCAAAAAGACATACACTCACACACATGAAAAAACATACAGACGTGCACTCAGTAAATATGAACAGGGCAATACTCATATCTAAAATGCCACCACTGCAAAATAAAGACTTCTCAGTCAGTATTTGACACACATACAGTGAGATAAAGGCACGACAGGTCAAGGCTGTCTGAGTGCCTGAAGTATAGGACCTGAAGTATTAGTCATCACTAGGAGATACCTGCATCTCTGCTGATAAAAACCAGCATCAGGTGGCTTTTGCAAATTAAATGCATTTGTCTAAATGCATCTTCTGTCATTTTCACAATTTCCTCTTTTGATGACTAATACCTCACAGCTTATAAATCATTAATTATAATAACATAACAAACACAAGTAAAAGAGAAGCAAAGTATAAATCTTTAAATTTCAAGGCTGTTTGCAAAGGTTATAAATGATCAACTTCAGAAAACCCCACAATTTTTCCAGTTATTTACCTTCTAATAACTTCCTACATGAGAGTACTAGTATTCAAAAATATTTTGGAATTTTTTCCCGTCACATTTACTCACCGTCTCTGTAATCATCTTTTACTTCTATGTAGTGATATTCTAAACCTGAGCCCTTTTTTGGATCTTCATTGCCTTGTAACTTGGCAACTAATGTGGTCTTACCACTCTCACCATCACCTAAAATATGTATAATATTGCAACATGATGCACGCTGCTGTATGTTCATACTCATCTGAAAATCTTGCTATATCATTTGTTATGATTATTAGTAAGGGTTTATCCAACTATCCCCCCCTAATTTTCTTTAAACTGCTTATTTTCAATTCTCTGTTCTTTAGACTAGGATAATTAACCAACTTAAATAGAATCTGTATCTATATGTACTAGTGAAAAAAAATTCACCTTATATCTTTCTTGAAATTCATCTCCTTATTATTATTATGATCTTACCTAGAACTAAAACTGATTTGCAAGCTGGAAGTTTACTTGTAGAACTTGACTGAACTTCACTCAGGATGACAGCCCTAAAATCAAATAAAGGATAAAATTTCCAAAAAAGGTGATCAACTGCAAGCTCACCACACAACATTAAAAAAAACATTTCGCACCGGCTGACAAAGGATTTATTGGAATGCTTCAATATGACACTGCAGCCCTTGGTGCTAATTTTTTATCTCTTTGGTTGATTTGAGTTTCTCTTTTTTGCAACATCTATGGTGTTTTTTCTGGCATACAGTGTTAAATGTATGTCTATTACACACTTGTTTTTTTCTGAATGAAAAGGTTGGCCATATATTTTAAGTGGGAGTGGTCACATGACAGTGACAGTCTAGCAAAACCAGACAGATGTTTGTGCAGATATCTTAAAATGCAAATCTTTGATCACGCTTCATCAAAGGAGAGCATTTTTCAAACACACGAAAAGATCAGACTGTCCTTTTTAGATTTTCCCGAACAAGAAATGCAGACGGATGTTACTTGTTTTCTTTTGATCCGCATGATGTCATCACGTCAGAAAGAATAAACTTGGACAATGATCACCCTACACTTCCATTTTAGTTGTTTTCTCCTTGTCTTTTGTCCAATTACGAGCTCAGAATTATCTGTTATGCATGCTGTTCAAACATTATCGGTATATCATTATTTTATATGGACAGACGGAGACAGGAACAGACATTCGTCTGGCATATACTGGGTCTACATATGTACGGATTATCACTTAAAGGTTGATGCCATTGACATGAAAGTAAAAGCATATATTCAAAACTACTAGATACGACTTTCCCATCATTACCATAAATTTTGACCCTCTTCTTCGTCGGTTTTTTCACCCGATACACTGTCCACGGCTGATTTTTCGCCGATGGGCGCCATCTTGAATAACGAAAATACCCGGATGTGACTACATCGATAATGCGCGATGAATCATCCCTCAAGAATGGAGTGGTGATGTGGATGCCCGGGAAATAGCTTAAGTTCAAATTAGAATTTGTTATGTTTAGTATTTGGTGGTCGTTTTAGGCACGGAAAACGATTTTCTTTAAATTAAAGTCTCACCTAACACATTCTTTGGCGCCACATTTGGAAATGGTTGTTGGGGGGGGGGGGATGCAGGAGAACAGATTGGGGGGGGGGGTTGAGGGGGTACACAATGTAGAAAGAGAAACGTCATATGAAGCAAGTGGAACGATCTGGTACCCCCACTGTGCCATTCGTAATATGATTTTATATGGTATAAGAATTGAAATCTCCATAACTCTGCCCCTTAGTCAATGTAAATGTCACACTCGATTTCTACTTAGATAAATTTCACAAAATATTCATTGTTCCATAATTTGTTTTTTAAAAAAAATGTTAATTGAATCAAAGAACACAGGTTGTATAGTTTAAAACACTTATTTTTGAACACAAATGTTTTTCCTGTGCTTTATAAAAAAAAAAAAAA